AAACCTTTAAATTTCATTTATGTGGCATAGTCTAGGTCTACACTAAAGCCTACAGCTGGATAGTATAGGCCTAATGAAGACAGGTTCACAGCCTAACCCAAGTGAAACTGGAAGACGAACTATTACGCCTTTTTAAACCTGCTCGTAATTCTTCTGATAGGGAAGTCTCTTGTAAACTTGGCTATACCGTACTGAATAAATTTTTACTCCTTAAAAATAGGCTACATAAATGTTATTTAAGATAAATAGCCCAGGGAATTTAAATCCAAAATGTTTAGATAACTATTTTTAGTGAAAATCCAATCTGGCTAAAAATGAAAATTTGCTTGACCTTCAGGTTTACCTATAAGTGCCTACATGTAAATTTTTAAATGCATTTTCCATTCCTGTAGGCTAAATGCTACTGATCATTAGAAATATTACTTAAGTACTTAAAGGTACTACTGTACCATACTTCTTGACATTCCAGTCAAGTAGGCTGAATTTCAACCGGGGTAGCGGATTTTTATATCCCTGGAATTTTACCCCCTGGGAAAACGTGACGTCACAAACCAGGGGGTAAAATTTCGGCCGCGAACTTTTGAGTTTCGCGACATCAGCTCGATGAAACGCGGAATTAAACATACGGTTGTGAATTTAATCAGAACACATCAAATTATCAAAACCTAAAATGTACGGCCCGGATTTTTACCCCCGGAATTTTACCCCACGGATTTTTACCCCCGGAATTTTACCCCTGGAATTTTACCCCCGGAATTTTACCCCTAGTCAGATGTATAAATTAGTGAGAATGATTAATTATCTTCATTCAGTTTTAATTTAAATAGTAAACATTTTATTATTAAGTAGCCTCTTAATTTATTTGTAACATTAACAAAATCGAACATGTTAATAATTTTAATTTTGAGATTCGAGTATCAGGATTCGATCTTGCTGGACTGTTGGTTAATACGATCAAAATAAAACAGCGAATTCTGTTTACTTAGTTGAGATTACAAAATAAATAAATAAAGATAGGCTACTAAATAATGAACTGTTTACAATTAATTAAAAACAGAAATAAGGAAATCAATCATTCCATTTCTAAAATCGGCCAGGGGGTAAAATTCCGGGGGTAAAAATCCGGGGGTAAAAATCCGGCCCGTACATCTTCAGTTGTCTAAACGCTAGTTATATGGACAGGGGGTAGAATTCCGGTTTATATCGTTAATCTAATTAATCACGCTCTGACTACTTTCATTAGACTTCTAAATCCGCGGGGGTAAAATTCCGGCCGCGAACAAACTTTTGGCCACTCAGGTAACAAATTTGAGCAACTAGTAAACTTAGAAGATTTTTTGTGGAAAACCAAAAGTTCCTCTACTTTACTACGTCATAGTGACGTCAGCTTTGCCCAGGGGGTAAAATTCCAGGGGGATAAAATTCCGGCGACCCTTTCAACCCAAACAACAACAATGTAATGCAATCAGGTCTTTTCTTTCACTGAACAATTACATTTAAGATGGGCTTAAAAAGAAATGAAAATCTCTTCTGTAATATCATTCTCTAGCCTATTACCATAGTACTTTCCCAATCCTGTATATAGTTCCATCCTAACTTAACTAGGCTAATTTGATGGATAGGCCTACTTTGTGGACTAGTGTGCGGAGTATACAAGTGGTACAGAGGGTACCAAAGTATACAACTAAAGGTTTGAACGACCAAATGTTGCTGTTAACAAATTTGAGCAACTAGTAGAAGATTTTTTTGTGAAAAACCAAAAGTTCCTCTACTTTAATTTAGAGCAACTAAGTGGATAACTTGTTGCCAAAGAATTGGTGTGAAATGGTCAGTAAGCCTAGTGTCAAGGATGTTGGACGAAGAAGACACAATCTATGTATCTGCTGCATGTGTCATAATAGCCAGCCACTATACAAGAGGTCCCCGAAGATATTGGGAGAGACCCTAACCATGCAACTACTCTACATCCATTGTAAATAGGCCTACTCTTCCTTGACAAATGCTTAACCAAAATAATACCTTTCATTGACCACATATAAGCAATTGTAGGCTATTGTCTATTGAGAGATAATGCTTTGATTTAATTTGATCTTTTTTACCGACACCAAAATTTAGTGGAAAACATGTCTCTCCACTGGTGGACGACAGAAAAGGAGCTGTATTTTGTAGAAAAAAGCAACTAATTGCCGTGACTAGTGGAAAACTTAGTCAAAAACTTTGTTGTTAACGCGGCTTTAGGCCTATAGCAAATGCAAACTAAGTGGGCTAGGCCTAAAAAGTTAATTCAAAGATTTTAAAATTAATTATGAGAGTATAGTATGAATAATAATATTATTTTCATAACATATTGTTTGTAAATTAAACCTAAGACCTAAGCTTACAAAAAATATAGCAAAAGCTTTATGGCTGTCTGTTTCTTTTTAATACTAAGTAAGCTCAACTTAAGGTTATGTGACAAAGGAGAACTCACCATTTAGATTGAATCCTTCCCCTCCCTGAGCTATATTCATCATGGCTTTATTTAAATCGCTTATTTTTAGTTTTACACTCACTGGTATCAAAAACTTCAAATAAGGAACTTGAAGAACACTACATCACAACACTGCACAAAAACATTGCAAAACAACAAACTGACACTGACACAATTATTGACATTTACTTACACCTCCGCCATTTTGTAACGCACTTGTTTTTTTTTTGTTCACAGTACTTTCACTTTCTTGTCCCACGACAAAGCTACTACATACATTAGATATGTATTGAGAAAGATAGGATCATAGATTAAACATTTTCTCAAGAATTTAATATATGTTGTCTATAATAAAACTAGAAGCTAACCGTCCAGCTTTTGAAGCGGGAAGTTTGTGTTTATGTTTCTGGAACAATTTTTTTTTGTTTATTAATTCAATTCAATTCAATTCAAATTACAGTATCTTTATTCATCAAGTACATCAGAAGTATATACATGAATAGTGTCACATTTCTTATAAGTTATAATAAAATAATATACATGATTATAGTAAATGGGACAAATTTATAATAAAGTAAATAAGTATAAAAATGACAACATTGTAAATAATTAACAGCAATAAATTTACTATACATGACAATAATAAACCATGGCAATAGGTAACAACATAATAAACTGTGGAAAAAGCTAACGTAACATAAAACAAACAAAGTATGGCTCTGGGAAAAAAATATTTTTGGTAGAATGCCAACAACAATGACAATTCAGCACTTCACACTATTGAGCGTGTGGTCCTTAAGCACCATCGAGGAACTACGAGACCACAAATCCCCACGGGACACGAACCAGCACTCCCCGGTGTCTAGCGTGTGGCCCTTTAGAGGGGGTCGCCGGAATTTTATCCCCCTGGAATTTTACCCCCTGGGTAAAGCTGACGTCACTATGACGTAGTAACCTGGGTGGCCAAAAGTTTGTTCGAGGCCGGAATTTTACCCCGCGGATTTAGAAGTCTAATAAAAGTAGTCAGAGCGTGATTAATTAGATTAGCGATATAAACAGGAATGTTACCCCCTGTCCATATAACTAGCGTTTAGATAACTGAAGATGTACGGGGCGGATTTTTACCCCCGGAATTTTACCCCCGGATTTTTACCCCCCGGAATTTTACCCCCGGAATTTTACCCCCCGGAATTTTACCCCCTGGCCGATTTTAGAAATAAATGGAATTATTGATTTCCTTATTTCTGTTTTTAATTAATTGTAAACAGTTTATTTTGTAATCTCAACTAAGTAAACAGAATTCGCTGTTTTATTTTGATCGTATTAACCAACAGTCCAGCAAGATCGAATCCTGATACTCGAATCTCAAAATAAAAATTATTAACATGTTCGATTTGTTAATGTTACAAATAAATTAAGAGGCTACTTAATAATAAAATGTTTACTATTAAATTAAAACTGAATGAAGATAATTAATCATTCTCACTAATTTATACATCTGACTAGGGGGTAAAATTCCGGGGGTAAAATTCCGGGGGGTAAAATTCCGGGGGTAAAAATCCGTGGGGAAAAATTCCGGGGGTAAAATTCCGGGGGTAAAAATCCGGGCCGTACATTTTAGGTTTTGATAATTTGATGTGTTCTGTTTTAATTCACAACCGTGAAAATATATGTTTAATTCCCCGTTTAATCCATCGAGCTGATGTCGCGAAACTCAAAAGTTCGCGGTCGGAATTTTACCTCCTGGTTTGTGACGTCACGTTTGCCCAGGGGGTAAAATTCCAGGGGGATAAAAATCCGCTACCCCTTTAGGGGTACTACCAAGTGGGGATGCGGAATACTATCCCCCGGAAAACTACCCCCCCAGGTGAAACGTGACGTCACAAAATCTGCCATTTAACCAATATGGAAGCCGTGTCCGCGACTGGAATACTACCCCCCCTAGACAAATCATGCTATTTAATTTTAATTTTAATTCGAGTAATTCCATTAGATAATAGAAAGGTCATGTGGTGAATATAAAACAGAATTTCGAAATGTTACAGCAAGTTTGGTTGGTTAGGTTAGGTTAGATTAGAACTGTTTGACAACTAAATTTGAGTGTCCGTGACTGGAAAACTACCCCCCCGGGTCTCTGACGTCAATATGACGTAGGGACCTGTTTGGGGGGGGGGTAGTTTTCCGGGGGGCAGTCTTCCGGCGACCCTACCAAGTGAGCGAATGACCAACACTGATTGAGAAAGGAGAGATGACATATGAGCAGCCTCTGTGCCTCTGGAAATCACGTGCTGGTGATGTTGCAAAAAAGTCTAGGTATGGGCAGACGGGCAGACGTCATCTATTACCAACCAAACCATAAAGTATATTGTATACATTGTACTTTTCTTTATAACGTTTATTGAACTCTCTTACATATAAATTGGCCATCTTTGCTTAGTGGCTTTACAAACAGAAAACATATCCAGTGCAGTGGGTCCTGGATCTTAAACTAAAGTCTGAAACTTCTCTCAATTTCACTCAACTCAACCTCAAAAGTCAAAATAGTGCCAGAGCTAGAACAAAATGTCTTGTATTGTTGTCTCTAGCGATGGGAATTTGTGAAAGAAAATTATTCCTGGGTTGCCGTGATATTCATTACAATAGGATTTCCTGAGTAAATATACTATTCTTTACTTAAATTAAATATTCTTACTTCATTAAGCAGAAAGATAATACTGTTTGAAATTATGACCCTTGGTCTTTGTAATTAGGGTCTTAGTTTGTCATAATTTCCTAGTTATAATCTCTCAATTTAAATGAAAAAATATTTCAGTCACAATTATTGTTTAAAACAGATTCATAGCCACAGTAAATAGCTTCACTTAAATTAGGCCTACCTAGTTCATTTTGTAGATTTCTTTCATTCTAAGTTAACTTAAGTTAGATACTTTCAATGCATTTTTAACACAGTGCTGTACCTAGTTAGGCAACACATTTGAGTATTATAATTATGTCCCATATAATTTTAAATGGAATACATTCAAACATTTTTTGTTCTTGTCTAAGAGACATTTTAGTCAGTCTTGCAACTAACATATTTTACTTCAATATCTTTGCCTCTTTTGAGTTTTCTCCTAGCCTAGTTCAGCTTCTTTTCAATATAAATCTTCATTTAGAACTACCGATCTTGATCAGATTTAACTATTACATTCTATTGTCAGAAGATAATATATAAAACCTACTCTGTTACCCATTCATGTAGCCTACCTAGGCTATAGGGCCTAGCCCTAGTTGGTAGGATAGGTAAGCGTTTTACCGTAGGCTATCTTTAAATTACAATGGTAGAATCTATTAAGTTAGGCCTACTTGTAGTGTAGGACTCAACCGTTTGGTCATTCTAAGCTGTATTTGCAAATTAAGCTTAAAGGAGGTTAAGCTAGTTTATTTAAGTAACTTAAGTAGGCTAGTTTGTAAAATGTCTTAAGTACAACGTTTTAGTGGAGGGTACAGGGCTGGATGGAGTGCTCCGTCCTGGCTGCGAAAATGCTAAGATGTGGCAGTGGGGCCGCGAGACGCATAATCCCACATAACGCCTGCAAAATCTAAAACCAACCCCGGCCGTTGGCTCAGGTCGCGGAGCCTAGCGGCCGATCCAGTTAGTTTTGTACATCAATGCTTACATCTTAACCTTTACAGGTCTACTTACATCGGTAGCTATAGTTTAATTGTCTTTTTTTCTTCAAACTACCTAATCTATGAAGTGTTGGTGTCAGGGTAGAGTCGTCAAAAATGCCTTTGTTGTCAAATAAAGTGACATTTGTTCACTAGAAGTTTGCAAAACATACAATAGGCCCCTATCTCAATTCATGTTTTTCCTAATCGTCTACTTTATAGTAAAGACATAGTCCCATTGCTTCATTAAGTTAATGCAGCTCATTCACAAAAAATTCTAACCTAAATTTAGTAAGGTACATCTGTTGAGTGCATACATAGGCATATTTGAGTTGTTACATACCAGAAACTGTAGACAATAATGTAATGCGCAATTTGTGTTCAATGACTTGATGAAATTGATTCTTAAGGCTTTACTCTCGTTTGATAAAGGACCCACCATTTTGCCCTGAAGTTAGAAGCATTTTGCTGCACAAATAACAGTTATGAGAGATTAGACAATGATTTATTCTAAACAGTGAGCTTAACCGTAGGTTTGTTGTAGGTGGGGAGGGGCTGAGCCGCTGGGCTGGCTGAATGAGGGAGACAGTGAGGGGAGACCAATGGGCAACTGTTTCTCCAGAGGGAAGGGACGCCCTCCACCCCAGGCTGAACGATCGGAAAATTACGGCCCAGCAACTCAGAAACAGACACAAGGTCAGTAGACTACGGCAAACTGTTATGTCAATGAGTACAAGTTTCCATTCATGTTTGAAATCATTAGAAAATTACCGCATTAAATGGTGGAATGTAATGAGTTCAACTTAGTTCTTGATGAAAAAAAAAGATTCTTACAAATCAAAATTCTCCATAAAACAATGATTCTTAGAAAATCAAATTTGTATTTATTTATTTAAGTTATCAAGGTCTTCTTTTCTTACTTTGCTATGGCTAACTTAATGATTTCCATCAAATCTTGCTTTTAACTTCAATCGTACCGTTAAAAAGTCTTGCAGACTTTTTTTGAGATTTCTGGTGGGCTCTTCAAGTTACCGCAGGGGGCTCACGCTTGCGTGGGTTCGTGGCCTGGGCGACCACGCGGACCCTAGCTCTCCCAGAGGGGAGGTAATTGCCCGGTGTTGGAACCGGCACTTCAGGTAGACCACAAGCTATGGACGACTGGACAAGCCAGCCTCTTTGGGTTTACCCAAAGTGAGAGTACCCAGTGACATTCCCTCCATTCAGGGTGGTGGGGTGTTCAGCTCTGCTAGTGTTGATTAAGTTCATAGATCTTTCACCTGCCTGTAGCTTGTGGTTGTGACTGAGTCCTACCTGTCGTGTACGACTGACATTTTGTGAGGCATATCCTCGACTTTGGAAGTAGCCTCGTCCTGGGAGGTGAAATACCTAGCCCCCAGAGGGGAGGTAAATGCTCCGTGTTGGTATCGGCATTTTCAAGTTGGCCACAGACATGGACGACTGGGCATCGGGTCCCAGTGACATTCCTTTATCCAGGATGGAGGGGTGTTTAGCTCTAGGAGAGATGGAAGTACATCATAATCTCTAACCTACCTGTGTCTGTGGTTCTTTGGGCTTCGGCCTGCTTGTTGTGTGCGACCAGCATTCAGTGGGCAAATCCTCGACTTTGGAAGTAACCTTTCCTGGAGGTGAAAACGGGCAAGTACCCGCAGCTCACGGGGACACTCAAGGGCAACGTAACTTTCCGCAGTGTGAGGGCAACGGTTTGTAGGTACTTATGCAAACCAATCCCTGTCTCTGAGCACGGACGGTATGGTTATCTTGAGTGTGGGGGGTTCTTCCCGGAACCTCAATTGAGTCAAGGGTGTCGCCACCTCTGGTGGATAGGTTCATCCGGGTGGGTCCCACTTCTATACCTGCCTCCTTTTGGGAAACCCTGATGGCCTGGCAGTGATGTTGGGTCTGACGGGCAAACGAAGTAGATCGGGTGCTGGGTCCGAGCCCGCCAGGGGTATCTGGGGATCTATCGCTCTGGTTATCTCTGGTTTCCCAGCAATGGGTAAGGCCTCGATCGGGCAGCGGTGTAAATGGGAGGGACAGCGTGCTGACGGTCCCCTTCCTCCTGGCTATCGATGGCGGGTTCTGCCTGTCAGGGATTAGATAGGTCCCGAGTGTTGCTTGCACTAAATGCGTCGGGGCGCTCTACCATGGACCTCTAGGTCTCGACCTAGTGGAACCCAGGTGGAGTGACGCTTAAACAAGCAGCCGGAATCCCTGGTTAGGATTGAGGGGCAACCCTCCTTCCGAAGGGTCTGCTTCGGCAGCCGGCGAGCCTGATGACCTTAAGTCATCCGCCCATGATGTGCTAAAGGTTGATGCGTAAGCTTCGGCCTACATCATGGGGCCCGGGTATGTCCTAAAGGATAGGTACCGCGTATGCAGTCAGGGGGTTTCGGCTCTCATGACAAAACGAAATGGAAATGGAATGGAAAATGGAAATGGGCTCTTCAAGTAATGTGGCAGCAAGTAGGCTCTGGCAGCAAGTATCACTTAAATACAATAAAATACCCCCCTGCAGTAAACCTGATTGTAAACCTGCGGATTTAAATATTTCTGATTGGGTTCTTACTAAAATATTTTATTAAACAATTTTTCTCCTATTTTAATGGGCAACTAGATTTAAGTTTTTACTGTACTTAGGTTTACTGCTACAGGGAAGGGGAAAAGTGTTTTTTCATCAAATGTAAACAGTAACATATAACTTGGTATGAAATAAATAAATTTGCCAAATTTTACCGCGATATATCCATAAACAAGCAAATTACAGCAGTTTACTTTTACTTCATAAGAATAACATGGGAATTTTAAATGTACATTTTTTTTAAATTTTCTCTGTAACCTTTGATTGTACATCAATGCTTCAATAGATAAAATTGTCTGTTTTTTAGCTCATAACAATGGCTGTGCCTAATAAAAGTTTGTTATTTCCAAGTTTTAAGGGTGAAAATAATAAACAAACAATTTTTGCAAATTCTTATAACCTCATAACACCTTGTTTTTATTACCTGATCTTGCTGGTTAGTGAACTCATTGAAGAATAGTGTTTTTGCTATTTGAGAGATAAAAAATTTTTAAAAATCAATCGGTCCCGGGTCTAGGTCTTTCTGTGCCATCTAAGGCAATAACTTCTTCCCTATATAGGAAAATTTGCTGAAACAATTTCAACTCATGAATACAAAAGATTCTTTAAAATATTGTCAAAATCACAATAGGCTAATCGAAACTTGTCATGTCGATAAAATAATTAAAATGGAATAAAAAGTTATAAAACTGGTTAAAACTGTAAAGGCTGGCCAGCACTGTCTTATCACTGATTAAATAAAACTCTTTATCCCTTTTTTGTCTTTTATAGAATAAATTAAAATCCTAATGAGATCTAGCTCAACAAAATACATCATTATTAACTTTGTTTCTGGCTTGTATCTTCAGACCAATCTTCAGTCAATTTTATGCAGGTTGACCAAGTTGTTGGTTTTCCATCTCAGTCAAATAAAAGATAAAATGTGTAAACATTGATTGTTTCATTCATAACAGTTGAAAATTAGGCTATACTTTCTAACATTAAAAGGAAGAACATATTTTTAAAACTTATGATAGGGAGGTAAAAAAATTTCAAGAGTCTTATATTCAAAATTACTTATGTCTCTTCATAACCGCTGAACTTATCAAAGGACTATGAGTCAAGCCAAGGAACTGTCAAAAGGTCTTGGAGACATTGTTTTGGTCTGTTTTAACTAAATTGATAATATCTTAATTTAAACACTGTCCTATAACAAATAATATTTTAAATAGTATCATGTATGACTGTAGTAGAGTTGCAATCAATGTTTAGATTACAGCCTAAGGGTGTCCAAATATTCTCCGAGTACTCACTCACATACAGACACTACAGGTCTTAATAACACATGCAGGTTACTACTCAGTAACCTGTATGTGTTATTTAAAATTGTAAGTTGTATAATACGTACCCAGGTTGTTGAGATAAAAGGGGGTTTCACTTTATAAAATATTGGTCATCGCATGTGTGCTGTTTCCAAATGGTTGTGGTCATAACCTGTAATTATTTTTTCCCTTGTTTCTGACAATTTTGAATTGTTCTAGCAAATGTCATTTTGTGCTATGGATTAGTTTTAGAATTTCTATATAATGTATTATCAAATTTGATGCTGTGGTAGTTCTTGCCAACTCTTCTTCATTGAAGATTATACAATTTTCAATCTGCAATAAAACAGGGGTGTAACATCAAGTATATTCTAAATTATTAACTCTTTTAAAATACCCTATATTAAACAAGTATTAGCTAAATACCCAGGTATTTATTTTGCCATACCGGTATTGGATATGTATCTTACATATGATTAACATTACAGATACACACATTTGACACTAAGTTGTATGTTTTGGTGTTTACTCTAGTTTACAATACTGTATTAGTTTAAAGGCTGGTATCCTAGCTGTCAAATTTGGCTGCATTTCTAGTTACAAACTGAACATAAAAAATACAGACACATACACTGAAAATACAGACATTTTCCCAGCAGCTGGATTAGCCCAAGGAAAACTCAATGTCAAAAAGATCCTATAATGCGGAGCAATAAACTCACTTTCTCTCTGCTGAAATCAACAGCTAAGATAACCAGCCATTAGCCTATTACAAATGATTTCCATCTTTACTACTAATAAACATTATGTTGTAGAAATCAACTGGGACATGTGCGCCGACCAATGTGTGAACCAACGTAACGGAAACAGTCTCAGCGAGCCTGTGCGCGAGAAAAGTGTTCGGACGTTTTACACCAGAGTGGGACGCGCGTCGGACGTGAAAATCGGCAAGACCGTTTCGGAAACTCGTATCAATAATTTGTTCGACATCTACAAAGACACTGATGAGGAAATCCAGGCGGAGGGCATTGAAAGGCTTTGTGCGGATTTGAACCTATCGCCAGACGAGTACCGTGTGCTGCTGCTTGCGTGGAAGCTGGACGCATCGCAGATGTGTCGGTTCACACGGGAGGAGTTTGTGAAGGGGTGTCGTGCGATGCACGTCGACTCGCTGAAGGGAATACAGAACAAACTGGCGGAGTTGGAGACGGAGGTTAGAGAAGACCAGACGGTGTTCAAGGACCTGTACAGGTTCACGTTCAGGTTTGGCCTGGACTCTGCGGCGGGACAGAGGATACTAGCGGCAGACATGGCCATGGACCTGTGGAGACTGGTGTTCTGCGGACAGGAACCGGCTATACTGCAGCGGTGGCTCAGGTGACTAGAGTGTAATGTGGAAGCATGCTTAGTTATAAATCACCATAATGCAAGGTGCCCAATAGTCACCTAATGCCACTGATTTTTAAAGGAGTAATTAGAATCACACAAAAAACCCTTATTTTAAAAGGAGTCACAAGAACCTGGATCAATTACAATGGGGTCACGAAAGTAGCTAAAAATTTATTACCGTACTTTAACTAGGGGATCACTGAAGTTTAAAGTCATTGATCAGTCGGTACGGTGATTTTACTCAACCGATTAGACTATAGCCTTATTAGGACACTTAAGTTGACCCTACTCTAACAATTAAATTAAGTACTTTTTCTGTAGAATATGAGAAATACTTTTTTAACTTTCTACTTGCCAAAAAGATTTTGGTAAACTTTTTACCCTACAATTTAGGCTGGACTCAAAAGATATCAATTTAAAATTATTTTCAATAGGCTTAGTAGGCTAAACGTTTTCTAACAGTTTTTTTAGATTGAACCTACGGTAGGTTGTTTCTTTTAATTGTGAATATTGTTTTATTATAAAATAAAACATTCTTCAGATTGATAGCAAATGTTATCCCTATATAAAATATGGTTAAAATAGTGGTATTCAAATAAAAGACCTAATAAATCTGACTCTTATATCGCACACATCTTACAGAGTGTGAAAAAGAGCATCTTGTCTTCTTAGACCAATAAATCTCTTGACTCTTGACACAATATGTACGGAAAAAGCTGCAGTGCAGAAAAAATAACTCTCTTCTTAATTTAACACGTAGAATCCATTGATGGTGCTGCCATGCAATGGATTTATTTTGAATCATGCCCACTAGATTGTTCATAGAAAATATTGTTTGCCAAGAACAGAGAAGTTCCATATGCCTATTCCTGTATGTCTAGACTAATGGTTAAAGCCCAATTCACACAGAACGGACGAAGCAAAGACATATGTCCCTTCTTCGCCTCTCCATGTAAATAAATTGGTCAATGTACACTAAAGTGACGTGGCGCATGAAATAATACGATCTAATCATAAACAACAACTCGTCCACTAGCTATATAACCAAACAGTAAAGCTCAAATCATTAACCTTTAAATAAAAGAAACAAAGATCCGTCGTCACTAGTGCCCAGTGTCACCGTACATTAACTAGACACGAAAAACGAGCTTCAAAATTTACAATGGGATGATAAGTCTACTTGTGGTGTTGGTTTGTCTATGGTTATACCTTTTCCCCCATTGAATCTACCTAGAGAAGTTTCCAAGGCAATATGTAGCAATAGGAGACTGTAAAATTAGATTCTAGATTCTGGGAATCAATCATCAAATCATAACAGATCTCCGTCATCAAAGTGCGATAGACGTGAAGGTTTAGAATAAATCCAAACAACTATTCCGTTCAGAATAATCAACAAACATTTGAGCAGCTGTTTATTGGTTGACAGGTTCCTCCAGTGCCATCCGCATATCCGAGGCATCCCACGAGACACGTGGTACATGTTCCTCAACCTAGCGGAGGCAGTGGGCGACGACTTGTCGACCTACAATGACGCAGAGGCGTGGCCGAGCTTATTTGACGACTTCGTAGAGTTTGAAAATGACCAGGCCAACCAGAACATCAGCAAAGAAAAGGAACAAGTTATAAAAGCTGAGTGGGACAGTTAGGTAAATTCAATGTCTGGCTGTTGGTAACTTTGATATCTTTACAGTGAAAATAGTAGTTTTAGCCCTTCTCAACAGGGTGAGAAGGCAAAAATGTGATGATGGCAAGCGAATTTTATGCAAGTGCTCCAAATAAAAGGTATATATAAAATAAATCAATACAATTATTCTTGTTAGTTAACAATGATAACTTTGAAAGCCTGGGGGCAGAGCTCTTAGAGACTTAAAGATTAGAAATAAGGTAGAACCTTTCTAGGTATACATACAACAAATTCCCATAGTTTTGGACTGAATCAAAATAAAGAACTAAAAGACAAACTTTTTACCATATGCAATAGATTCTGATTTTAAAGTATGAACAAACATCTAATCCTGCAGGAATCAGTAGTATCACATTTTACGTAGTGAACAATTTTCAAATGGTTATTGCGCAATTAGAAACGTTTAATTGATCAGAATCATAAAGTTTACCAAATTAAGGTATTTAAAAAAATAATTCGCCTCCTAATGTAAAAGCTTGCTGTTGAAATAATTAGCTTTGAGGTGGAGGCTTGGAGGCTCCGTTTTTATTTTTATCGTCGGCAAAATTTACAATTAATATCAACTACCTGTAAGTGCCTGCAACTTTTAGTTTGATTAAAGACATTTAAATTACAAACTTTTATTAATAATAACCAATTTGTCTCAGAGTATATTTGATCTTTATGACATAATTAAAAGTGTTTGACCTAAATGCTTTCTTTTAACAAACTACAGTCATGTATTATCCATTACAAGAACAGTTACTTTTCTTTATATATTATAGGATAGGCTAAATTTATGAACTCCTTATTGAAGTTTTAATTTTTTACTTGCATAACTATTTCTATGTGTCAAACTTACAAACAGCCAGTAAACACTTTGTACTATATGTGTTCACGATTTACGAATGTCCGTTAGATTAAGCTTTTGCCAAATTCGGTACAGGATGCTGTTATGAGCAAGTATAGCAATTTTTTATAGTTGTGTTTTTATGAATCGTAAAGTTTTACAAAATCTTAATGGTTGTATAGTTAATTTTCGTAGCATTGACTGCAGGTAGGTTCTAATAAAGTGATTTCATTGCTTGGCATGAATAGCCTATGTTTGTTTTATTGTGAGTTAGTATTCAGAGTAGTAGTTAATGAAAAAATGTATTCATTGATGACTAACATCGTCGATTGAGTCTGGTTTAAAAAATGATAAGCTAAGAAGTGGTGGTTGATTCTTTCATACTCCATCAATTAATCCTATTAAAGGCAGGCCAACTCATTTCAGTCTATCTCACTTTAAAGCGGCCATAAAGTTTGCAATGCCAATGAGATTTCAGCTTTACTATCCATAGTCAATGCGGTAATTAGCATAACCCTTTAATTTTATCGACGTTGCATAGTTTACTTATTCTACTGCCATGTGTTGTTTCTTTTAGGCTTACACGGTTTTAACCAAGCTTTTAGAAAGATGTAAAGAAAACTGTGTTTCTAAATGATAAGTTTATTGTGTTTAATAGACCTAGTCATTTTCTATGCGTAGTTAAAATTTTTCTTCCCAACTTAGTGAACTGCTCAGTTTTAGTGATTAGGGCAAATGTTGATGTTTCATTGAACCCTAAAACGTGATAATCTTGGTTGACAGATCATTTAATATTAATCATTACTTTTTTGTTGTCTTGTGTTGTTTTTGTATTCAGAAATATGTACTGCCTTCTGCCTAACGTGGTAAAACCGTAGTTTAATTTAAACCTTGCACTTAGATCTCGCTTACTCTTTTTTTGTTTTCCTGTAAATCTTTAATCTTTTGTACAGACGTGTAAAGTTTTATTTATTGTTTTTATATTTTTTAGCTTAGTGTGATCTAGGGGAATTCATAGCATGACAAATTATTCTGGTGTATTTAGCTTTAAATTGGATAGTTTCCTGTTAGTAAATACCACCACTTATTTGGTCTTTAGGTTGTGTAGTTAAAACCTGAAGACAGTATTTTTATTTGTTACAATCGGCAACTAAGCCTAAACCTTGAACATTTGATTTATGACCTTTTTTGTGCTATACTGTTACTAGTATCACAATAAATTAACCCTTAGTACTCCCTACACTGCCTCACAAAAGTATTTATTATTTTGATAGGATTTGTTCTTAATTAGTCTCAATTGACGGATCTAGAAACCAAACTGAGTAGTGGTATGAAAAAAATGAATATGGAGAAAATCCAAAAAAGGTTAATCTAGGTAAATTGTGTTTGCCAAGCTAAGTTTTTATAATTTCAGCTTCAACCACAAAAGTGCCCTTTGCAAGGTGTAAGGAAATTGTACAGCATTTAATTTTATAGTTTTTTTATTTGGGAATTTTTATTTAACTTAGCATTTTTGGATAGTGTTGAAATGTTAGTGTAAAAACATTAATTTAGTGCACTAGACAACTTAACCCTTGGGGGATGAGAAAGCTAAATAAGGAAAAATTGAATTCAAAGCTAATTTACGAGTAACATTTTATTAAATTTATATACGGGTATCGTATGTAATATACCCAAAATCTGACTGCATAAGGTATATAAATACATTAATCTATAAGCGTTGTGATTCTTTACTTTGGGTGATTTTTTGTTTAGTTATTACCTTAGGGAGTCGATTCTATATGAACAATCAATAATGGTCTTTGACAATAACTTTACTTGAAAAATTTACTAGTTTTAAGTTTGAATCAATTGCTTGTTTGTTTCTCAGAACAAAGACTTAACCCAGAACTCTTAACATAGCAATAAAAAACAACGTTGCTGGATGGGCTAAACTTGAGGGTGGTAGGAGAGAAAACTGAAATTACTAGACTGTTGCCATCAGCTGATCCAGTGGCGGATCTAGAATAGTCACAAGGGGGGGGGCAAACCGGGGGGTTCAGGGGTCCCCCTGTGAAAAATTGGCGTAAACTAAGTGTAAATTATTTTATGCATTGTGTGTATACACTACTGTATTACATGCAGTAAAATAATCCTTATATATAATTCTGTAAGACCAAATTTTTACCAGAAAATTGTGGACGTCTGGAAAGTCGCAGAAAAGTGGGAGGGGTCTTAAATGAAAGGTCTTGACCCCAGGGACTCGGGAAAAATAGCAGAATTCCCAAAAAAATACCAGAAAACAAGATATAACGTAAAATATTCTCCATAAGAATAGCATTAGAAGCCATTTATTGCCGATTTTTGTTTACTTCAATACAGCTGACCGTGATTTATCATCAAGTCAGTACGCAATGTTAACATTTGGATTACTTATTTGCCAGTCAATTCTGCAATGTACTGTATAAAACCAGAGATAACGTTACCTATAATAATTAAGACTTCTTAGTTACGTTATAGAATGTGGAAATAAATTATTTAACTGTGCTAATTTTCAAATTTGTATATTTTTAACGTTTAACACGAAATAACCACATTGACTAAATATAATTACCGATTGAAGATTAAACAGAAAATTTCTGCTTTGTTTTCATTTCAAAACATATGTTTTAGATTTATTCTACACTTTATTTATTTTAAATTTGATATTTTATTGTAGTGTTTAATCAATATTTTGTATGAAGTGGAATAACCTCAACGGCTACTCTTAGAAAATAATCTGGGAATAAAGATGGAATAGGTTCGTACAGGAAATAGTTATTTGTCAATTAAGTAAGTACTATGACAAGTTCCAATGGGAGGAAAAACAATATTTTTTGGAGATTTTCAGGTCCTGTCTGTTGCTCGCAAAAGAGTTAAGAATCAGCCGATGATTAGGCCTAATTTGGTAGAATATGTAACGTCAATCTCACATTTAAGAGGAATACCACCACATACACTTACACTAATTGTTGTTTTTTATGTTGATCAGAAAAATCTAGGGTTAAGTTTGGTCAATGAAATGCCTTTACTTTTCACTTCTGTAATACAGTAGTATAAACTTAGAAATATATACTGGGTAGGGATGCTAATTTAGCAGGTTTGGCCAAGGACGAAGCTTACCTCAACACACCTTTATTTGCTTTTTCATATTTTTGATGAAGACAATTTCCAAAATTCAAATAAGGGAAGTCTTTTTTTATCACCCACAATACCTAAGCCACCCTAATAAACCAGTATTTATTCACAACCAATTATATGTTTGCTGCCTTTAGCAGGGTTAAACCTATGTAGGGATTCGAATGGTCCCTACATGATGATTTATTGAAAATAACATCAACAGAAACTAACAAAAACAAACAACAAACTGTTTTTTACACAAAAGATATGGCTAATAGGGATATATATTCTGACACATAGATAATATATTTCTTAGTTTGTTTAAATATTAGATGATTTTTGTTTTATATTATTGAGCTTTTTAGGGACTTATGTCCCTACAAGCCACTAGTATATGTATATATATGTATGCCGAGGGGGAGAAGGTCGCCATCTCTCTGCATCCGCCACTGAGCTGATCATATAGAAAAGGGAAATGCATAGGCATATATTTAAATAAATCTCAGCGACAGCAGCACTCTTAAATTGTAGTGATAAAATTTGCAGATTCAAATGCAACTGTTTTTTAGCGTACCTAGTGAGAGATTCTGAGTTAGGTCTTCATTATGTGTTAATATTCTATAACTTGACATTTTTTATGTTTACCAAAATCAGCTGTTTGTTGTATTCAGTAAAATATTTGAAATCAGAGAAGAAAACATTAAAATAATCAGTTGACACCTGTTAGGAGCTTGACAGATGATTAATTAATTTTGAGAGAAGATTTTGACTTGAAAAGTTAATAAAAAAATTTGCAATTTGAATTAGATGTCAAAAATGTTTAACCCTAGTTTAATGTTTAATACTTTATTCTTTGAACATATGTGGATTCATGATCGTTTGGTAAAAAAAAAAATATAAAAATAAATAAACTTTGTTTTGATTGGAGGGATAATAAAGAAAAATTTAACAGATTTTTTAATGTTATCTCTTACTTTAAGTACACAATGGAAAAAATTAAGTATTAATGTAGATGAAAAAGTTGATAACTTACTTTTTTAAATTAGTTGTATTAATATAATTAAAATTTTAATTCTATTGTGTGAGTCAGAACTTGGCCAGTACAGTTATAGTTAACATAACTAGCACCACATTCTTAGAATGAAAGTTTGTTTGCAAACAACATTTTTTATAAAAGTCCCTTAATGAAAACAGGTAACCTAGTGTTTGATTAAGGGATGGTCTGCTCTACATTCGTGGTTTCTGAGCTAAAATGTTTTATCTTCACTGTCAATACTCAATTACTTAATACCAAAATCGAATGCCATTCTAAACAATAATCAACAATTTCTCAGTATTCTTTAAGACTGATGGAATGGATCGACTCCCCATTTGGTTTCTTTAATGGCTTCAGCCAATCACAAAGTCTTCCGTCAGTTTTATTTTAGTTGATTTGTGAATGTTACTTTGATAAAGTTCTGGCTGAGAAAGAGATTGTCCAAGTTAACACTTACAAACGTAAGCCTGAGTATAGCTCAGAGCATTAGTTACCCTGTTGTTACTAGTGTGGTTATAGCGGCACTTGCTGCGTTTGGCTGGTGGTAGCATGGTAGGTCAGCTGGCTAAGGCGTTGCACAAACGAGTGTAGCGTTGAGGTC